GGGAGGTCTACGGATGCCTCGTACACAGGTTATGAGCTGGTACTAATTCTGTAAACGCTGGGTCCCAATGAATGTACTAAATGACTCTGGAAATCCTTGACTGTTCAGAGCAGCCCTCTCTCCCTGACAGAGCAGGTGCACCATCTGGCAATTTGAACTTTAAATGCTGGTCCATAACGCTGCAGCACTGCAGGCGTGACTCGTGTGTTTATATGAGATTGAAAGCAGAGCACAGAGAAGATACTGGATCCAAAGGTATGCAGGCTCCAGAGGGTTTCAGTTTGTCTCTAGCTGAATAGGCCGGATCCATGTGACGCACCCCTGCTGCGTCCTGTCTCAGCACCAGGCTTAACTGGTCCTCCACCTTCACGAGGGAACATGAAAGTCTCCCGTTTCCCCCCACTGACAAAACACTACAAAGTTCACCATAATATTAAACAGTTGTTTTACCGAGACCCCGCCCGTCCGAACAATTTGTTCTCTTTGTGGAATGTTCTGGAAAGGTTCTGTCAGAAAGAACAGGAGTTCTTTATCTTATTAGTGTCAGTGAGACTTGAGAGTGAAGCAGTGTCAAAAACTGGTCAGACCTGGTTTTCACAGGAGACATTAATAAATAGTTTTCGATTAGATGGGGAAGGCACTCAAAAAATCAACTGGAAAATATGAGAACTAGATGAGGTCCGGTTAAGTTTTCAGTTAATTCGCCTTTATTTTATGAATAATCTTTGTTTTGATTTGAATTGTATCAAGATTTGTAACACTATCAAATCTTTCAATGTAAACTTCGACCGTTCAGCAGTATTAGAATTTTTTAACTTCTGATTTTTTTTAAAGAAAAAGTGTGGGATACAGTTAAATGTTCCCAAAGGCCTAGTAAGCATAGACTAGTTTGTTATTGGTGGTTTTGTTAAATGAGACCATATTTGTTCATGTTGGCTAACATTAGCTTACTTAAGCAAAAATGTGAATGCTGGTATAAATGGTGGCATGGTGGTGCAGTAGTTAGGATTCTTGTTTTTATACCATGGAGGTTGTGGGTTTGAACCTCCTGGTGGGTTGTGGATTCTGTGTGTGTGTTTGCTGCCATGTTCTCTCTGTGCTTCCATTTAGTCCGGCTAGCTCCCACGGTCCAAAGACATGGTTAGGTTTATTGGTGAGTCTAAATTGGTACATTGGTAGTCTAACACATTTGTTAGCATACCAGACATGCCACACATAAGAAAATTACCTTTTGTCCTGAATAAATCAACTTCTATAGCAGTTAAATCTTGTCTTTGTTAGTTATGGCTAGTTTAAATATAATAACCCTGGATTGTCTACACTTCATATACTTGTCTTTCTTCTTCTCCTCGCCACCTCTTCTCTTTTTAAAGGCCACAACTAACATAACTGATCCTTTAGTTTCCACCCACTGAGGTTTAACTCAACCACTGAGATTATTCTTGCCTGGATAGGCTATAATGTATGACTGTAAAACCTAAACCCCTACTTAGTCCCTCCATTGTGAAGAGCTGCATGTTTTAAATACAGCTGCCACTTTTATGCTCCACAAAACTAAGATCTTGAAGAATATTTAGGTCTTTCTAGAATATCATCCAAGAAACTATTTCAGGAGATTAATATAATGTTGTTGTTTTGTTTTTTTTAAATAATCTGGAACCCTGCCTGTTTTTAATTAGCTGTTAATTAGTCTTTCACCCTTGGTGGCTTGCACTGTGCCAGAGCAGAGTGTGTAACATCATTAGCTTTTTCAGCATTAGAAGAATATTACCTCCGCACAGAGCTCACTCTGTGATGCTATCTACGATGCTATCCTTATGGTTGCTTTGAAGCGTGATCCTAAAAGTTTTTCTTTCATTAAACACAAATCTTCTTGACAGGACACCTTCCCTCCTAATTTGGTTTCTCATAAGTCAGGTAAAAACACTGTCGTGGTCATGTGCCTGTTCTTCATTAGGCACCAGACGATGTTCTCACTCGGATGATACAATGTTTAAAAATACCCAGCTCTCTCACTTCAGGACATTAACCATGTAAGGCAATTTACCTAAACATAGTTGGAGTAGAGAGCGAAGAGTCGTGGGAAACTCGCCTGTGACTGAAGTGGTTAACTCGTCTTTATTTAAAGTTAAATACTCCAGGCTTTACGTGGCCAACGCACCAAACAACAGCCTGGGATGAGAGCGAGGGGTGCCACAGAACAGCCACTCTCCTTTGAGATGAAAGGCTCCAGCCTCAAAAGCATATGTCACACAATAATGAAAATGTGACTTTAGCCGAAGGCAATGGAGCAAAGTATAGACAACCTGTTTGTTGATTAGAAGAGGGAATGCAAAGAGAGCTCAGAAAGGGTCAATAGAAGGAAGGAAATGGAGGGTGTAGATCTACAGTGCCCCCCACCCCCACCCCCATACCCCCTGCTCTCAGTGAAGATTGAAAAAGTGATAAATATGCATGAGTTTGGCTTCGACAGTGAAGGCCTTTGATGGTATGGTTGAGAATTCTTTATCTCTGGAGCAAATAGGCTGAAAATAACTGTCTGAGAAGGTTTACTTTGTGCGTATCTGAACAATGTTCACTTTTAATGAGTAGAAAAGAGTCTGTAGGAAGACTTTTCCATACTCTATGCATTTAAATATACCCGCATGCGGCATCTGCCTTGAACATGTGCACTGTGCTCACAGCTTTCCTTTAACTGTGTTGATTAAAGTTAAGTGAACAATCATAGATCTTAACTGATACATTATAGTGAGATTCATTTCAGTGGTCATTTGTTCTCCAGTCCTCGATGTTCAGACTAGGGGGGGAAAAGTGATTTCAATTTTGCACCATTTTATGAGCCATAAAATCTAAAACTGTTTTAGAGGAGTGAAAGTGCCAAGTTGTGACCACAGAGTGTACATAAAAGATAGACATAGAGCTACCCTGGTTCTCTGTAGTACTAATGGCCTTCTCCATTTTAAGTGACAGTTGATGATCCAGCAAACTGGGATTGAACTTGTTTACAGTAGATTTACAGCGAAACCAACCAAAGACTGCATACAAAAAATAGGAGCCAATATGGAAATGTCCAACAGGAGGCAATTCATTTAATTGCAAAAAACATTCCACTTGTACAATGATAATGCTACTCATGGGATTTATGACCTCAATAAACACTTTCATGAGGACTTCATTCATTCTTTATTCTTTATTCAAGTCCAGCCAATTAGAGAAAGCCATATTGTGGCTATCTCGTGATTCACAAATCCCTAATATTTAAGCTTGCCATATCCTGGATTTGTCAATCAGATCCACTGCTTGGTTATTATTATTGGTTTCAAAACCCAATGTGCCAAATTGCTAAACTATGGGTTTCAGAATCGGTGTACATAAACCTCAGGGGTAGGCAACTCCAGGCCTCGAGTGCCGGTGTCCTGCAGTTTTTAGATATCACCCTGGGTCAACACACCTGAATCAAATGATAAGTTCATTACCAGGCCTCTGGAGAACTTCAAGACATGTTGAGGACATCTAAAACCTGCAGGACACCGGCACTCGAGGCCTGCAGTTGCCTACCCCTGACATTGGCATTATGGTGGCTGTGTCCACTTTGTGTATGTCATCTGTGGTTGAGGAAGTTAAGGGTTTGGTTTTTTTTTTAATTCTGATATTATGTAACGTGAAATCAGTGTAGTGACCTTTAAAAGGAGCTGCTACTACAGATGTCAAAGGCTGTCTGTGGGGAAGGCAGCGTGTGAAAGCAGGGCTCAGGGAAAGAGGAATAAACTCTGAAAACAGCTTTAATGCTGTTAACATCATAAGGGTTAACTTGCAAGAGTACAAAAAGTTCAAAGCATCTGCAGAGCAGGAAATCTGGATCTAGCCGGAAATAAGGATCTGAGGAACAGAAGCTAAGAACCGAGGACATGAAATAACAACACTAGAAGGAACTTGTATGAAGTATCAGGAAGAGATGTAAAAGAAATAACTGTGGATAGAAAGCTAAATTCCAACAATGCAGAATCCTAATCAAACCAAAAACACATAAAAAAAGAACCCAAAAACTCAAAACCCAAAGCACGACATCTGTGGTTTCCCTGAGCTTAGCTTCAACCTCAGGCAGGACTGCTGAAGTAATGTCTTTATTTACACCCAACCACATGGACGTTTGACATTGCTCAACACTTTTAAAGCACATACAGTTCATAAAATTAACAAATGACTAATCCTCAGTAATGCACAGGCCTGGTGTTCCCTCAGCATGGTTGGTATGTGTGGCAGCCCAAGTCCTAGCAGCCCAGCATTCGACTGGATTGATTAGCACAGCACAACAACTCAGCTCATACTGGCCCTGCTCCTTAAACACTCCTTTCCCCAGCTCCCCCTTTGCAGCTGTACAAAACCACACACTGCTCCCACATACCCTTTCAATGAATATGAACCTCTCCCCCTCTAAGGTAAATCAGTTGATATAGTCACAAAACAGCATCCGTCAGATTTTGAGACTTCGAAATCCAAAGATCTGAGTGATTTCAGATGTCGGGTTTTGCTTCTTCAGCCTCAAGTCTGTTTGGGTCTCCACTGTAAAGTCTGGCATGTGATCTTATCTAGGCGTTACCTTGCGTGGACTTTACTGCAGCCCTCTCTATATCAAGAATTGCCCCTACTGCACATGTTTCTGATACAAAGAAGAGAGATTATGAATGTTAATGTTAAGCAGTTTGATGCTTCTAGCAACCTTCTGTGCTGCTTAGAAATGCATTTGAAGCAAATATTTTGCAGCAGCTGTGGTTATATTTTATAAGGTGTGTTCAAGAAACTGATTCCAAATGTTAAAAAGTTTTCTTTTTGGATCCTTGAGGCGCCTGTGTGGACACAAGAGATCAGTGTGGGCTTGTATGTATCTGTCTCTCTCTGTGTTTAATTTAGTAGAATTGGGAAAAGCTTCTCCTATGACAGTGTTTAAACAAGCTTATTTGTATGTTATACTTAGTCAGCTTTCTCTGTTTGCCTTTTAGACCTGCAGGCCTCTGAGTCATTTGAACATTATAGTATATCAGACAAAGCCATGGACTACAGGCTGCTGCAGATGGATGAGGACCAGGACAGGATGTATGTGGGCTGCAAGGACCATGTTCTCTCCATGGACATCAACAACATCACCCATGGCACACTTAAGGTCAGCAGATGCTTATTGTTACAGTTAAACAGAAACGCTTTATGCCATTGCAGCGTTGGTATCATGGTGCGCTATTTTTTTTTCTCACAGGCACAAAGAAGAAAACATGAATGTTATGTAAAAACACTGTGTAAGAGACAACACAACACCACTGCTGAGGATATTATTGTAATGTGTGTGCAAATTACCATGCATTTGCTATCCTCCGTACACTTTAAGGGTTTTTCAAAATAGCCATAAAAATGCTCATGCTCACTTATAACTAATTCTGCATGCAGCGAAGGAATCATCTTCTGTGTAATTGACAGGCATGAAGTGCATAAACAGATGGGAAAGCATTTAGGTTCCCCCAGAGAGTGCTGCACCGCATCCATTTTTGTCAAGTAAATTGCTTGATATATTCATTGAGAGCGACCTTTAAGCACCTCTCCCGGGTTTGAAAACACACATTTCCACAGATGATAGCTAGCTGTAATCACTGACACCGAGACTTGTGTGGAAACTAAAAATGTCCGAGCATTCATTGTACTCATTTTGCACAGTGTTTTTCTGCCCATGTACTCAGGATATAATGAAACCTCATGAGCATATTGATGTTACGCCTCTTTCAATCTGTTAGTCGCTAATTTAACTGATGTGCCTTTTTTTTTTAACCATCAGCTGTTTTGGCCTGCTTCAACAAGCAAAATAGAAGAATGCCAAATGGCAGGCAAGGACCCTACAGTAAGGAGAATAAACCTCTTTGATTTCTTGATTTATTTTAGAGTCCCACTACTGTAATAATACATTACAGCATAGATTGCATGTTGTTCATTTACATGTTTTTAGCATTCAGCTAAACACAAAGACTCTATATAAAAGATAGTTTTGGTCACCATAACATCACCCTGTGTTTTGAAGCTTTGAGTTTAGTGTTGTGCTTATCACCATGTTGGGTTTTTTGGCGCCAGCAGTGACCAAATTTTAACAATAATACGAAGCGTTAATTTAGCAGTTAGCAACATTAAGTTTGGTTAGCAAGATGTAGCTATAGATCAAAGATGGGTCACACACGTCACTGATCTGTTAATCAGTCCTACAGTATGTAAATTAAATTAACGTTACAGCACACCATATTATTTGCCATATTAAGAACCAACACTACAAAAACATTTAAGAACTGGAATTAGTGATCTACAAGAAGCCTAACAGTGCTAGCAGACAGCTAGTTAGTACAAGGTAGCCACACCGCTAATAATTCATAACTAAATCCCCAATACTAACTAAAAAAGGTAGCTTATTTAGAAGTTATTTAGCTTCTTTAGCACCCTTTAGCTTCTTCTTTAGCTTCTTTAGCACCACGTGCTCAGTTTTGAGTAAATCAGAGCATTTTAACATATGTGTACAGAATTTTTTGAGACAACCTCAAGTAGCCATTAGAGGTCCTGCAGTTCTTAACATTTCCATGTTTGCCATTTTTAACTCTGGACATTGTTGCTCAAATTTAGTTATATCACTATCTAGCTAAACAATAAATGTAATATTTAGTTTTGTTTATCATAATCCCATGGTCATTTTTAAACATTTTTGGATCATTCAGCATGAAATCTGTCAGTGTCCCACAATAAGAACAGTTAAAGTATGATTAGAAGAACATACTTTTGCTTATATTTTTAATTAAAAGCTTTATTTCTTTATTTGTTAAATTGAATGTAAATGCACAAATAAAGAAAGAAGAAAGCTGTTTCCCTTTGACAAGAATTCAGGCAAAAAAAAGCTCCTTATTATTATATTTGGTGGACAAGAATCAATCTAGACCTCCCAAACCCCCTGTTGTCCTATTACCGCTTTGAAAAAAAATTTTTCTTTCTTGTTTTGTTTTGTCACTACCTGCTGTAGAATTTCCTTGGTTTCCTTTGCAGCACTTCTGCGTATTTTCTTTGTCTGAGTTATGATAATTACAGGACAAAATACAGATAATGAGCTATCCTATTTAACAAAGTTGGGCCCAAAGAGTCAACATGACAGGGTTTCTTTGATTTACTACAGTGTCATTAAAACTAGGACATATTACTCTTCTTTTTCTTAAGACATGTGTGGTTAAACTCCTTCACTCTAAAAGAACATGAAGAATTTTATAGGTTACTGAGCGATAGTTTTGCTGGCACAGGCTACTTAAGACCAGACTGAGGTGTATGCGGCCCACAACCTAAAATGAGTTTGACACCCCTGATCTTGACTAAAGGTTTAGTCAGCTGTTCCAAGATCCGCTCCTCCAACTGGGTCTGCAGCGGAAGTTGCCTCCTGGGATTTCCCTCTCGCATCTGTGAGTTTGCGTCAGATCCAACTGTATTTCTATCAAGCAGCAGATGTCTGCAGGGTCACCGGCTGGCCTGGAGTCCTTGTGGCATAGTCACAATTAGTCAGTGCAAGATCGAGGTGTGGAGGCGATTGAAATGCCACGGATCAGTGTAAAAAAAAAAAAAAAAA